GTTGGGAGCAGAGGGACCAAGTAGTAAGAACAGTCATCAGTGAGTGCCAGTCCAAAGGCATTCACATTTACATTTTTAAAAAAGGTGATTTATACTGGCCAAAGAATACATATATCCAGTGGTATGCTGGAGCTGGCTCTTACTAGGAAGAGTCAATTGTTAAATACTCAGGAATTCTGTGAGCCAACTGCTGGTAGTTTAAAATTAGCTTTCATGGGAGCATTTACACTATGGAAATTGGCAAAGAGTGTAAATTAGGACTCTTCTCTCCAGAGAGCTGGTTTACTAGCACTGTGTGCGTTGTGTGTGTGTGTGTGTGTGTATGATTTTGTTTACATTTTTGCCATCTCTACCTGAGTCCTGGTTCTATGCTTTGAGACAGGTGTTCATGACCAGTGTAGGGTGGCCTTACATAATTAGGTGGCAGCTTTTTCTTCAAATAAATGCACTGTAATGTGGTCGAGAAGAAACTACAATCCAGGGGAATGTTCTGGATGGACCAGACTGGAGTGTTATCATGCCACTTTTTAAAAAATTGGGTTGGGAACCTAAATTCTTGGCTTCCCTAGTCTCAGTCCTAGGAGAAATAACTATGCCATGGTCCTCTCCACAGTATAGTGACCTCTTCCTGCACTGATGACAGTGAGATCCTTTTCCATCCCTAGCTCACTATTCTGTCACCCCAGGCCCCAAACTCCAAAAAACCACCACCTGGCCACAACTAGTTACTATCATCATTATGTCTTGTAGAAAGCTCTATCTTTTCCCCTCCAAATCAAGCAGTTGTCTATTTAAGAGTTTTCTCTGAGAGAACACTGTAATCTGGAAAGGAATTAAAGTGTTTCCTTGTTTAACCTTCCAAAGAGGAGAAAAGTTCAGCCCCCGGCAAAATGTGAGACAAATAACAGAATTTAGCTCATCCATGTACAATGGACTTTCAACTCTGCTCCAGAAAATTCTCACACTTCCATTTCATGATCGCTGAGGATGGAAATGAGAGACAAGTGGCGATGGGAACCGCTGCTTTTTTGTCCAAATTCATGAATCGCCATCTGCTCTACTGCTTCTGTATCATCCAAACAAACTCCAAATCCATCCAGAGACTATACACGGGAGCTGCAGAAGCCAGTCGAGGTAGCACGGTACACTCCATCAGCCTTGTGAAGAAAAGCAGAAGAAAACACCAGGATGACAACCTCACCCTTCGGGGTAGAACCGCTTTCTCCTTCACTGTTTCTGGCACAGACTTCTGTCGTGGCACCTCGGCTTATCTGTTTGTACATCGCTCTTCTTACTACAGGTAGTTTCAAATGCTTCAACCTAATCAAATGTAAGCCTCTTCCAGACAGTGATAGTGTCTTATTGATCTTTGTATGCAGTAGGTGACAGTGGTAGGCACTCAATCAAGGTTTGAGGAAAGAATGAATGAACATTTGTTCTCCTTTACTTGGGTACTATACTGTTTGGCAACATTAATCTCACTGAGAATATGAAGTGGGCACCAAAAGGGCAGGGGGACCTTAGGAATGAACTTTGGAGCTGGGGTATGAGGGTGGGGGGACCAAAGGGAAGAATGAACAGTGCTTTTATGGTAGTCTTCACTCAAATTGTGATTGGGGCCCCACAGGAGAAAAGAGCAAGAAATAACATCTGTCCAAGCACATGGGCACTGTCACTTTTAAGAAGCTGAGTTATCAGCACCTCAAGGTGTTTGTTAGAAAATAAGTTGTAGGGGCCAGCCTGGTGATGTGGTGGTTAAGTTCGTGTGCCCTGCTTCGGCAGCTGGGAGAGTTTGCAGGTTTGGATTCCAGGTGCAGACCTAGCACTGCTTGTCAAGCCATGCTGTGGTGGCAACCCACATAAAACAGAAGAAGATTGGCACAGATGTTAGCTCAGTGACAATCTTCCTTAAGCAAAAAGAGGAAGACTGGGGGCTGGCCCCGTGGCCAAGTGGTTAAGTTCGTGCGCTCCGCTGCAGGCGGCCCAGTGTTTCGTTGGTTCGAATCCTGGGGGCGGACATGGCACTGCTCGTCAAGCCACGCTGAGGCAGCGTCCCACATGCCACAACTAGAAGGACCCACAACTAAGAATATACAACTATGTACCTGGGGGCTTTGGGGAGGAAAAGGAAAAAAATAAAATCTTAAAAAAAAAAAAAAAAAAAGAAGACTGGCAATAGATGTAGCTCAGGGCCAATCTTCCTCACAAACAAGAAAAATAAATAAAAATAAAAAATGGGTTTTAACTTAATTCAAAGAAGGAGAAAGAGCTTAACACATGTTTCACTCTAAATACCTTTGAAATATTTTCACTATAAACCTTTTGGGTGATAACAGTAATACATGTCAACTGTTACTCTCTTAACTATAATACTGATCATGTCATGTAAGACCTTCTACAAAATGGACAGCAACCTAGAGCAGTCAAATTCACAGAGACAGAAAGCAGAATGGTCATTGCCAAGGGATAGGGAGAGGGGAGAATGAGGAGTTAGTGTTTAATGGGTACAGAGTTTCAGTTTTGCAAGATGAAAAAAGTTTTGGAGATGAATGGTGGTGATGGTTGCACCAAAGTGTGAATGTATTTAATACCACTTAAAAATGGTTAAAATGGTAAATTTTATGTTATGCATATTTTACCCAATTTTAAAAAACACACAGCAAAGGTTGGCGGGAGTTCTCACGTCTAGCCTCCCTCAGGCTTCTTTTAAAAGAGTTTCTTCTTTGCTTCACCAAATCTATTTTATGTTCTCTCATTTTTATACACTCCAAAATCAACATTAAACAGAAAACAGATTTATGCACAAAGATCTGTTAAAATATTGACTTGTAAGTTTACATAGTCTGCGATCTCAAAGGACAATTGCTATGTCATATAATCCATTAAACAACAGTGATCTGCAGGTTTGGCTACACTGGGAAAAACTACACATCCTATGAAGGCTTAGATAAGCAGGAATTTTAAGAGTGTGTAATTTCACACAGGCAGAACCTTTTAAACACCCTTGGGCTTTGAGAACTCAGAGCAAACTAACTTTGTAAGAGGAAAATGGGTCTTGGTTTGTCGATGACTCCAATGCTAAACGACTTTACAAGGGAAAACATAAATTTCCAGCAAGAGGCAATAAAGCCAGACGAAAACCCAAAAGCAATCAAGGGAACCAGAATGAGTGCAATGATCTTACTGGGCGAGTACCAAACAGAGTTCAGAAAAGAGGTGCATGGTGGTGAGGTCTGGGGAACTGTGTCTCTGGAGGCGGCCAGATCTTCAAAAACCAGATGCTGCCACTTCCTGTCTGTAAATCTGGCATGTAACTTAAATACTCAGAGCCTCAGCTCTCTTTGCAAAATGGAGATGATAGAATATCTTTCATAAAGCACTAGCATCCCATTAAACGAGTTTAAATAAAACAATGTGAGCAACTGAAACATGTTAGATATTCAGTAATTCTTAGGTATTATCATTATTTATCTTCATGATGTATTATTATTTATTACTAATAATAAACTTATTACTAGTAGTACTACATATATACACTTCTGAAAAGTAACCAGGTCAACCTCAGAGACTTATCCCGAAACATTTTTTGTCCTGATGTCAAGGGGTATATTGAGAGCAAGGAAGGCATCTTTAAAGATGGTCTAGTCTAGCTCCTTCATTTTACGTCAGTGGTACCTACGGTCTAGCGAGATTAAAGGACTTGAAGGGTGTACTGTTCATGGCAGAATTAAGAATCTGTTCTTTTTTTTTTTTTCCTGCTTTATCTCCCCAAACCCCCCCGGACATAGTTGTGTATCTTAGTTGCAGGTCCTTCTAGTTGTGGGATGTGGGACGCCACCTCAACGTGGCCTGACGAGCGGTGCCATGTCCGCGCCCAGGATCCGAACCCTGGGCTGCCACAGCGGAGCGCGCGAACTTAACCACTCGGCCACGGAGCCAGCCCCGAATCTGTTCTTTAATCCAGGGCTCCTTCCTCTCTACTGTGGAACTTCCATAAGTGGTAGAGTTATAAAAGCAGCTGAATGTTCAAACCTCATCTTCTAATTCTGGACTGTGTGCCTGGCATGAAGCAGGTGAAACACGTGGAAGGTGACTTGTTCTGTCCTGTGATGACTGAATGAGTAATGGCATCAGCTAATATTTACCAAGTGCTAGCTGTGTACTAGGTACACCTGAGGAGATATCCATGGGTGTGCTTGCAACATGTTAGGAATGAAGCACTGAATGAATCTGAGAACATAGACATACCTAGGAGGGCTGTACAGCATGATCAGATAATATGCCTGAGTGTATACACCACTAGGATCCACCCTGAGGAAACCCCGGCCTGGGGAGCCTGGCTGTCTGTCCTAGTTATGCATGAACACTAGATAGTTGACTGGAAGCTCTGTGCACACAGGCCAGGTGTATGGACTGGGGGCTTCAGGGATATGACAGGGCTTTTTCTTTATAGAACCTCCAAGGGCAGTGAGCGTGGGTCTATTTCTTTGGGCTGGTAGGGATCCCGGAGAAGGTACATTTCATCTTCATCTTGGAGAGTCTAAACCTCCTTGCCAGTGGCCTGGGGGCCAGGTGGAGGAAGAGAACCAATGACCTTGGCATTCAGAACGCAGACTTTCACTTAAAAGCCCTGCTTTCAGTTCAGTATCCTTGCCCTTAATGGCGCCTGGCTGCAAGGAACGAAGACGTGGGAGTCTGCTTTTTAAACCGGCTTTCAGTGAATCTTCTTGTTTTTAGCCCCACTTTCACCTCCATTTCCAGAGATATCTGGAGCTAGCAATTCCTGAGCCTGAGTCTACAGTGTAACTGGATTTCTTGGGTTTGCTTAAGTCAGTTTCTACTCTCTCTGTTTCCACCTTACAGAACGTTGATACTGTTCTCTTAGTCATGGGGATTATTATTGTTCTGTAGAGTCCTTTAACTGTCGTTTTATTGGCATTTGAGAAGGAAATGAAGGATAAGAGCGGTGTTCTACCTGTCCTACCTAGTCTAGTCTGGGCACTTCGTGGACATCGTCTAATTCTACAACTGCATGCAGTAGAGCTGCTTATTATTCCCACTGAGAGCTGAGGAAACAGTTTGCCCAAGGTCTCTCAGAGGCTTTGAACTCAGGTCTTTCTGATGTCAGAGCCCAAGCTGCAGATCGTGACCACATCTAAGAATCCATGATAAAATAATAATGACTTTCGATTGTCATTGAGCATTCAGTACGCTCCAGGCTTCTAAAGTGCTTTATGCGTACTAACTACAACAGCTCTGTCAGACAGATACTATTACTATTAACCCATTTTACAAAGGAGGAAACTAAGTCACAGAGTGGTTAAAGAGCCTGCCCAGGATCCCAAAAGCCCAGAGAGTCTGGCTCCATTGGCTGTGTTCTTACCACTCACCATACTCCGTCTACCTCGTGGATTCCCACGATCTACTTTAGGAACCTCCTCCGGCTCTGCTTTTTCTCTTTCCTAGACGACTTACTCCAAAAGAAAACAGCACTCTCCTTAAACCAGCCAACCAAAGCAGAGACAAGAAATAGAAGACAGCCACCGTTAAAGTAAAATCATTTTGAAAATATTTGCACAAGAAATTATCCTACTAGATTATGCTATCCTCTGTTTATAGTTACTTTCAGACTTTCAGTTCAGGAATAATGTGAAGAATGTGCCAATATAACTAGACATATAAAAAATATATACTATTTTAGCGAGGAAATGACAACTAGAATTTGCTTCCTAGTCTGACAGCCTAAAAGTACGTATGCTAGAGGGTGCTGTTGAAGAATTTTAGGGTTTTTGTCCATTTGGTGTTCTCAGATTTGCACGGGGTATTGCTATGGGCTAGGGTGAGCTTATAATTTTGAATTAAAGTCTGTTTAACCTCAGTCTGTTAACTGTTAACCAACACGATATTTTACTGCAGAAAAAATTTTAAAATAACATATTCATTATATGTAGTTAGTTCTTATTCACGCAGAAGCATTAATCACCCGTTACTTTCTTTTCCCCTTGCACATCCGAGAACTCAATTAAAAGATAATGAAACGTAGGTGTTAAACCCAAAGAAGGCGGCACTGTCTCTAGAGCATTATCGATGGTGTAAAGACTTGTGTCGTGGGGGTAGTTAATAGAATCTGTGAGCTGAAGGAAACACAAAATCAAATTAGTGGAACCAAAACATTAGCCATCAGGAAATCTTAGTTCTAACTCCCCTGCTCCACAATTAAGCGAAATTACCTAAGTACTTGTTAATAAATCAGGAGGCAGGAAATACATAGGATTAGAAGGTTAGAAAGTACAGCAGTGCTTATGCTGAACTGGTACAATTTTGGCCACGCAAGCTCAGTCTAAAATAGGAAAGGTGACATCATTAAACACATCAAAGGCCAAAAAACACGCAGAACCAGCTCAAAAGCCGTACAATTAGGAATTAAACATTTGTATAGATACATATCCTTCTCCGAACATTCAATAGTGGTCTAAAAAATTATTTGTTCTAGAATTGTGCCTGGTTCTACACAATATAATTTTAGCAGTAGACATTGAATTTTTTTTTGAATAAATGAAGGTTATTTGTCAATTCCAGCACTTCCAAGTTTGCAGCACTTTAATACTTGGTTGTTAAAAGGAAAGGAGGAAGAGACATCTGTGTACGTGGAAAGGCACTGCGTGACGGATGACAATTTACGAAGATATCACGTTACCTGGATTATTCCTCACTGCTTCATACGTCGCTTCTCCCACTCAGAGTGAATGACCTGACGTAGGAGGCATCGCGTTACACACATTGCTCTGATATTTTATGCAGCTGCTAGAGCAGTGTAGGCAAAAGGAACTCCATGAACACTTGCTGATTGATAAATCATACAGACAGAACTGTGAGCTAATGCCTCTGGAGTTTATCCAAGTCTGTGGGAGCGTTCCTATAGTTCGGGGACAGCTATTACTCTCCAACTGTGGTTTAAAGGTGGAGGTGAACAGCCTAACACCATCTGGCTAAAAGAACCATTTCCCTTCTTAAAAATTACTAAGTCAAATATAATTTTTTCCTTTCAGGTCTCAAGTCCAAGCTAATTATCGCTTATGATTAGAAGACCCGGCAGCTTTTGGAGTACTGAGGCGAAGTGGTTTTTCTTGCTACACGTGAAACCACGTGAGTTGCTCTGTGTACTGGTTTCCTAAAACCATTTAGTTTGTGCTCAGAAACAGCTTTCAGCAGCACGCACAACACATAGGTCTTTTTTCAGTTGGCAACTCTGAAACTACTATTCTGGGATACAAGACTGAAAAAAGAAAATCCTAAAAGTCTTTTGGTGGGTGAAAACTGATTCTTAGATGATTAAAAAAAATCATTTTTTTTAAAAAGAAGCTGGAGGAAAAACCCAAAGTACCATATTTAAAGAAATCTTAGAAATGTATCTATTCAATAGATAACATCAGACTTTTGGAACCGAAAGTTACTTTTTAGGGAGCAGTTTCAAAGATTTAGGAGAGAAAACACTTTGAGTATGGTACTGGGGCTAAGGCAAGTGATCTGATTATGTCCTTTAATGAACTCACATGTGTTGATCCTAAAATGCCAAAGTTTGGCTTCATCTTGTCACTGAATGTACACTGTCACCCAGTTGACTATATCAGGCTAGGGGCGTGTAGCTCTGCTCCAGTGGCTCGGCAAGGTTTAGCAAGTATTCTCTTCACTTTCTACCCTTGCAGCTATGGAAATTGGGGGGCACACTCGTGTGTCTTTGAGGGGAGCAGACGTTTGGGTAAGGGAACCAGCTCTGAAATACATGAAAATGCCTTCTTGCTCCAGCATTGGTAGACTCACCTTGGGCTGGGCAAACCCACTGCCCTGCAATTTATGCTTGTAAGTGTCCTTGTCAAGACGATCACCACTAAAATGAGATTATTCCACAAGGACCGGAAGTGATCTCTACTTAGCAAAAGATTTCTCAGAGGGAACACAAATAGCATTGCAACCAAGAGCATTTAGGCAATGCCTAACAGAATTAAGAAAATAAACTGTTTCCAAAAGGCACTTCAGCACATCAGAGAGCGTCATTTATATATAGACAACTGAAGCACTAATTAAAAATAATTCCTCTCTATTCACTAAAACAGGCAATTTAAGAGTTGCCATTAGTCACCATCTCGTTAATCTACAATCAAAGAACCATTCAAGGTAAAGCAAAGAATCAATTTCATAAGAGTATCCTTGCCAGGGACCGGCTCCTTTTAGAGGTGGTGAGCCAAAGATCACATCTGTTACACTTGAGGATTCTGGAGAGCCTGCTCCTGGGGGCTCACGACTTGCTGGTGTGGAGTGTTTGGAGTTGATGGCGGGGAAGAGGCTGGGTGCCCCGGCTGGGTACTCCTTTACCTGCAGAAAAGACACCTAACAATGACTCTTTCAGCTAATTAGAGACTCTCCAGGAAGGGCAGTTACTATGATATTTGAAAGGAAAAAGTCTGAATTTCCTTAACAATATTCTGATTTGCCTTTTCTTTTGGCTCATATGACCCAGTATAGTTTGGCTATCATCAAAGAGAAATATTACTAGAAATCCTGAGTTTATACACATCAGAGAACCTTACACGTGTTAGTAGGTTAATGAAAAAGGCTTTTAATCTCTAAGTTTGCAAAAATATTTCATGTTCTTTCTTTGGTTCTTAGAAGCTCCAGACCTGAATTACTCTTCAATTTCCTCTCTTCTTTGAGTAAAATAATCCAATATCTATTAAGCACTAACGTGACAGGCAGTGCTGTATTGTCTTTTAAGGCAAAGCAAACATAACCCTCTTTTTTGACCTCTTCACCTAAGCAGAAAATGTGACTAATGATTGTTGAATGCATGTCCATTCTGTATGGGACATCTTACATGCATTCTTGATAACACTTTAAATTACTTGGCATTTTACTGGCTGCCTACTGCAGCAAGTACGCACTGGTGACTCCGTATCCACACATTACAGATAAGGAAACTCAAGCTCAGAAAATATGAAGCAACTTAATTTCCATGTTCACAGGGCTAGGTATTGGCAGAGTCTGGACTCTAACACCAGTCGGCCTGACTCTTCTCTCCTCTCTCTTCTACTCCATGGTTTTACCTACAGAGGGAGCATTACCAACTAGCAGGGACTCAGCGCTTACCTCTTGCCAGGCATTGTCTGAAGGTTTTATGTGTATTAACTGACTGAACACTCACAACAATTCTATAGGGAAATACTGTTACTATCATAGTCGCCATTTCAGATGAAGAAACAGAGCTTAAGTACCCGGCCCCAGCTCACACAAAGCATCTGACTCTAGATGCCCAACAACCAGAATGGGCAGCCTGGTAATCTGGGACTTTCCTCCGCTCAACATGGGTGGCAGCTGGCAGCCAAAGGACCCTGCATTGGGGATGCTCAAGAAGAGTCCTTGCATCAGGTAGACAGTTTCACTTGACCTTCAACCTTCCAGCTAAAGATTCCAACATGTTTTTGTTCACAACCTAATGGTTTACGTATATTTTGACTTTGAAATTCCTGGCATATACAATGGGTGTTTTAACAACAACAACAACAACAACAAAATCCTAGCAACTACCCTAGGAAATAAAGGAAAGAAGGCACAATTTGTCACCTTGCCAAGATCAAATATTCTGAGAGCCTGAGTGAAATCAGCAGTCATCACTCACACAAATCTGGGCCATAGAAATCATAAGGGTAATTTACTGATGGACATTCAAGATTGAATATTCTGTGACATACATACTAATGGCTTCTCACTGGTGAGTGTTGGGGAGTCGTGAAGAGGTGGCTGAAGAGTAAAACAAAGCTAAGATGAAAAGTGTAAGCTAAGCTTCCATCTCAATGGCTGCTAATGAGTCAGTGAGAAGAGGGAAGGACAAGGAGACAGGAAACGGGCTGGGATGATCCAGTCCTTAGAGAGCCACCACAGCCAGTGGCCTTCTGCTCCTATCATTTCTAACACCAAGTGGGGAAAGTAGGACATACAATAGATTTTATATATAGACATGTGCTGAATTGATATAAAAAACAGGTTTATCCCAATGTTCTTTTAGGACAACTGCACACTGGGAAATTCCCCTGGAATGCCCCACTTTACCTCTGAAGAGCTGTGCCTAAATCACAGTGGTGTTATCTAGAACACAGGGTTCCAGCAGCTACATTCTGTGGTCATACTGCCAAGGTATTGGTGGTGGTTTTTTATGTTAAAACAAATTACTTAAAAAAAAGAAAAAAAAATATATATATAAAAGCAAAGAGCACCAAAATCAACCCAAATACTTCCTGAGTGAAAATTACAACTTGAGGGGAATGTTGTTTTAAATTGGGCTTCTCAGGCTAACTCAACACTGTAAGAACAGTAAGGGATGGATTCCTGGCCCCTACAACGATATTTGTGAGTCAGGTGGCTAAGGCGCATCACCGAGAACTCCCAATTGATACTGTGTAGAGAACTCCCAATTGATACTGTGTAGAGGGCAGCTCACACGCAGGCAAAGAAATCAGCCATAATTCGTAAGTTGATGGAATGTTTGCCAATGAGGAGAAACTCTTTTCTGTTTGAAGCAAGCTAAAAACTGATTAAAAAAAAAACACAAAGCAACTAGCATTTTCGGGAACAGAGTGGGAGGGGAAATGACATAAAGGTTAGTAAGTCTTGTGATGCTCGGGGCCACTTTTATCACAGAGTGACTCAGTTGGACAAAAAATAGAAAAGGATTTTCTAAGCCAAGACAGCCTTCCATTCATGTTTTCCTTTCTAAAATTATAGCCATCCTCTTTCACAGTAAGGATCATGTTTTTACAGTGTGGAGCATGGCTTCCCCCTAGGCCTGGTCCTCCGGGGCTGGCACTATGCAGAGATTCCCTTTCTACGGTTTCTAAGGCTGGTTCTGTTTTCCCTTCCTTCACTCTTCTTCAACACACTGAATTGTTCCAAAATAAAACATAACTTTTTCTAGTTGAAAGCATTACATGAAAAAATAATGAGCGGTAGTCACAATGGTAGTGAGGGTGGGAGGTTCCTTCCTTCTCGTTTTGTTTTTAAGTAAACAGGAGTCTGTCTCCTGATTCCCTTCCATTGCGCTGGCCCAGCACCTGGCAGAGGCCTCTCGTTCCTCTCCTCTGCCCAGATCCAGGAGAGGCACCAGCCTTCTTAGGACAAGGCTGCCTTTACCAGCAGAGGCTCTGAGACACTCCACTCTGGAAGCAAGAAGAGGGTTTTGGATATGTTTTGTTAACCTGAAAGGAGCACACACAGTGCGAGGCCATGTGTGTCAATAGGCACTACAGGTTCCTTTGCTCAGGTTGGGAGACTGGAATTCTACCACTGCTGCTGGCCTACCCCACGGCTTTACTCAATTCTCATCCGCCTTAGCTTATTTGTCCAAGAAGCCAACTGAAACCCCTGAGAATACATACTATGGTGAACACTGTGAATGCCTCTCAGCGTGTGTGTCTCTGCTGTGCGTGTGTGCATGTGTGTTGGGGGGAATGAGGGAGAGGAGTGAACAATTACTAATTAGGATAACATTTCTTACATATCTTTCTAGAATACAGTTCAAAACAAAGCAGAAAGGAAGCAGCAGAGCTTTATCTCCCTCTAGCAGCCGTCCTAGCCTGGGGCTAAAGTGAGTTCACCTCAGGGGTCCATTGTGTCCAGATGGCCCGGAGGGCCAGTGGGCTGGTTCACACGTGACAGTTTGCATGAGGCACCAAGTTACCTCCAGGGAAATTATTTTTCCTGCCACAGGCTTGTTACCTAAATCAGAGGAATGTCTCAGCATCGGAGGGGAGCTGGGATGAATTTCTCCTCACTCAGAACTTCTGATTTAGTCAAGCCTCCCACCCCAGCCCACAACATTCTCTCCCCCTAGTCACCTCCCCTGATCTAGGAGTCAAAACAGAAAGGCAGGTTTCACCAAAGACCTGAGAAGAATTTGGGAGCACAGGTATTGATGGGGTTCAGGGCAGGCTGCCCCCAAATGTGACACTTTGGCATATCGATTATTTTGAATTAAAGGTACTTAAGAAACAGCCAGTGCCAGCAGGACACTCTGACCCTCCTCTGTCCCCCTGAAAGCAGGAGAGAAATCTGCCATATGGAAGGTACCCTTCCTGTACCAGGAGGTAGAGAGACCTCCTTATCACCAGAGAGAGAGAATTTAGAGTGGAGAAGCCTATATAAACCAATCTTGTTACTTCTTCACTAATTTACTGCTGCAAGCCCAAACCTCTTAGTCTCGTTAATTCCTCACGATTTATTGTTTCTTCATCTAAAAGGTATAAAAGCTGCCTGCTTTGGTTACGTCTTTGAGTCTCATATTTTTATGAGCTTCCATACGCACAAAATCAAATTTGTTTCTCTCTGTTAATCTGTCTTATGTCAATTTAATTATTAGGCCAACCAAAGAATCTAGAAGGGAAGAAGGGGAAAGATTTCCTCCCCTACAGGAGCTCTGGTCCAGGACTCTAAGACAGGAAGGTAACAGGTGTCTTTGCATGTGGGTGTGGATGTGCATGAGAGCGTATATTTGTGTGCGTTCCCACATCACCAGAGAAGGCTCACAGTGCAGTTCCACAGAACAGTGGTCTTCGGTGAGGATTCTTCCATAAGGAAAGCAGCAGCATCTGGCTGTGGACATCAGTGCCTTCAGCTCAGGCTACAACATCAGCAGCAGCTAAGAGGGCCCTCTGCCCGGCACTGATGGCTTCTTAGATCTAGGGGTCCAGCAGCAGATCCCACAGGACTAGAGAGCAGGGTGGGTGAGGGGTGGGAGGAATGGTGGTGACACATGGTAGTATTGGGACTCTGTTCAAAGTGACCCATCAGGTATCTCCTGGAATCCCAGGAATAGCTCAGGAACCTCAAAGTGGAGTGTGTGCAGGGGATCTGGTCCAACATGGAGATAGAGGCAGAGAAATTCATTCATTCATTTGCTCATTCAGTCATTCCACATAAATGGAACTGAGGAGTAGCTATGAACAGGCATTGTTCTAGGTGCTGAGCAGGGAAAAAAAAAGACAAAAACCCATGCTCTAATAGAGCTTTAACGGGGTGAAGGCATAGGGCAATAAAAAATGAGCAAACACATAAATAGTATCAAGTAGGTAGTGAGAAGCAGTAAGAAGAAATGTGAGTGGGGGTTGGTAGAGAAGACTGCTCTTTAGTTAGGGAGGTCAAGGTCTCTGGAATTAGAAAAATGTTCACATTGTTGTTAGACACACACGAACATAGGAACACCAGATAAACTTTTGATCTTTAGAGTAAACAATAAAAAAGCTTCAATTTTTGTTTCCATTTTCAAAAATCTTTCAACCATCAAATTAAAAGAATCCTATAGACCAATTTAAGTTACAAGAATTTTTGTTTTTGAGGAAACTTGGCCCTGAGCTAACATCTGCTGCCAATCTTCCTTTTTTTTTTGCTGAGGAAGACTGGTCTTGAGCTAACTTCTGTGCCCATATTCCTCCACTTTATACGTGAGACGCCTGTCACAGCATGGCTTGACAAGCGGTGTGTAGGTCCGCACCCCAGATCCGAACTGGCAAACCCCAGGACGCAGAAGTGGACATTCGAACTTAACCACTGAGCTACTGGGCCGACCCCTAAGTTACAAGAATTTTTAAGGGACTGTTTATCATAATTTTTACTGGAGTTAGATTTTATTTTATAAATTATGATACTAAGGAAGTAGGCCATAAACTAAAGTTTATATCTTTGCTATACTCAGACTTCTTTGAATTGATTTTTGTTTTATTCATTGAATGAATGAATGAATGAGGCACTAAAGCCCAGTTAACAGATGGGTTCAAAGCCATCACTTATAAACTTGACTTTGAAGCCCCTATTTCTGTAAAATGGGAGTAAAAACCCCAACCACAGGATTGTGAAGATAAGATAGTCTATTTAAAGTGTGTAGCACACCGCTGGGCAAACAGAAAGCAAGCATTGACTTTTTTTTGATTTATCAATAAATAGAAAGATGTAATTGATATGAATTCTAAACTAGTTTTTATTTTTAATAAAAATTATTTAAAGACAGCCTTGAAATAACTTCTGAACCTAAGATTATTAATGGAAATCCAGCAGTCATTCTCAAGAAAAAAAATGGAATTAGTTTGTTTCTCTTGGATTTATTAATAGAGTTTCAAACTAAATGTTTTTTCCTAACCTAAAACAATAAAATGCATCTTTCCTCCTCCTGGGATCTGGGAAAAGCCGCACCCAGATTGCATTAAGAACTGAAGAGATGTACTTAGCAGGCTTTGGGGCCCTCTGTACATGTACCAACAGAGGTTCAGGATCTGAACGTACAATGGAAATTCACTGAACGTCTATTATGAGTACTGGGCATGGACTAAGATTTTTAGAGATGGATTCTCTAATTTAATCCTTTTTAACCAATATGCCAGGAATATATGGAAACAACTTCTCCCCTGAGCAGATATGTCCCTTCTCTAGGCCAAATGATAAAAATAGCTATTTTACTTTGATATAAATACCAAATACGTCATTGCTATTGTTTTTCTGAGAAGCAAAGTAATATTTTCATTGTAGAAAATAAATCACTTATCCTAACGAGTGTCATTAACAATTTGGAGTATTTCCTTGGTTAGTTTCAAATGTCTTTATTTCCCTTCTTTTTCTTTTCTCTCTCTCTGCTGTTTATCTATAAAATTGGAATTACAAAATTAATCATTCTTTGAACAAATGATTTTTAATGGCTTATCCTATTTCATTATATGGATAAACCATTAAGTAACCATGGGGGTAATACTGGAGATTTAGGTTATTTCCAGATTTCCACTGTTACAAATAATGCTACAATAACTATCATTACACGTATTTTTTACTTCCTTCTTAGAAGAATAATTATTTGATCAATTTGAACACGAGCATCTTCATGGCTCAAAATATTTTCATCCAGGAAGGCTGTAACAATTTACATCCTCAGCAGAAGGATATGAGTGTCTGACCCATTCTACCTTTGCCAGAAATGACAGCCTGATTTTTAAAAACACAAAAATGTTGTCAATTTCCTAAACACACAAAAAAACTTATCTTACTGTTTTCTTAAATCTTTTCTTTCTTTTCTTTTTTTTGCTGCTAATAAGGTTAATCTTGTCCTCCTTCCAGGTATACCATTTTCTTTTCTTTTTCTTTTTTTTTGTAAACTGTCTATTCATCTCTTTTGCCCATTTAAAAAACTGGACTGTTAGGGATATCCTTATTGCCTGACAAAAACACGTTCTATGTTAAAGATATTAAATCTTTTTTTCTGTAATATTTATTGCAAATTTTCTTTTACTGAATGGTATTTATCTTTTAAATATTTCCTGTACTTTTTGATCTAAGGGGTTTCAAACTTCACAGGCTAGGCCTGATTCATCCCGGCCCTGTGCAGAGGCCCTTTCTGTGCAGTTCACATCTTTTTCTCAGAGAATTTGCTTCTGCCCAGAGGAGGCAATGGGTCTCCCCTCCTACCAACCAAGGCTGATGGTCCAGGGTGGGGCAGCTAACTAGACAGCATCAGACCCAGGATGTGTAACTGAGCTCAGACCCAGTGCTCAGATTCCTGGTCCTTCAGAATCTCAAGTCATTTCTCCATCTTGGCCTCTGGAAGGCCCAGCCCAATCACAGTCCCTGCCTTTGGATTAACCCGAGAAACCTCTAGTAAACCCACCATGTACCTGTGGTATTCTGAGTTGGTTCAGTTCCTCACACTCATACCTATCTTTACTAAAACATGATGAAATAAAGTATTTCTTTCCCTTGTGGTTCCTTCTACTGCTTCTATGTTTCAGAATCCTTCCCCATGCCAGTATTGGTTAAATAGTCACCTATTTTTTCTCCTAGATTTTTAAAAACATTTTCAAAAACCACACAATTCTCTAGTTCTCTGGAGTTTACTTTGGTATGTGGTTTGTGAATAATCCATTTCTTCCCCAATGGTTTGCTGTGACCCAGTGATCATAAATGTGTGTGTGTTTGTGTGTGTCTTTCGAGGCTATTCATTCTGTTTCATTGATTCCTATGCCTGAAATACACAGTTTTAATTACTGTAGCTTTATTATATATTTTAATATTTGAGATAGCAAGTTCCTTTTCATCGCTCTTTTAAAACTTTTCATAGCTAACGAAACTTTTGTTATCAGAAGATATCTTTTTGGGGGATTAGGGAGTGGGGGAAATGGGGAGATGTTGGTCAAAAGGTACAAACTGTCAGGTATGAGTAAGTTCTGGGGATTTAATGTACAGCATGGTGATCATGGTTAATAATACAGTATTTTTGTATTTAGACTTGAATTTGTATTTTGTATGTAGACCTGAAATTTGCTAAGAGAGTAGATCTTCAGTGTTCTCACTACAAAAAAAGGTAACCATGTGAGGCGACGGAAGTGTTAATTAACTTGATTATAGTAATGATTTTACAACGCATGCGTATATTAAATCACATTGTACACACTAAATACATACAAATTTTGTCAATTGTACCTCAGTAAAGCTAGAAAAAAATCTACTAAAAATATAAATGTCTTTTTCTTTCATCAAGTCACTAACTGGACTATCTTAAGCTCTTGACAGCCAATCATGGTTTAACCAAATCCAGTAAGTCTGTCTTTACAAAACGAGAAGAGACTTAACTACTTCTGGATGACCGGATCCACTGCCACGACGCCTGCTCATCAGGCCTGCCAGATCAAATTAAGAAGGCGGCTAAGAGAAATTTAGCAAATATGCTGTGGGCAGCGTTATAATTTGCCTCTCGTTTTTTTTGTAATTGAGTAGTCCACAAAATTAAAACACACTAATTTACTTTCCTTATAAAGGTTTTTTAAAATAGACGTTAACAGGCCTTACAGTCTGATCTAGAACAATATGCTTTCCTTGATATTTAAGTCTTTTTAATTCTCAGACATTTGTTTATACTATTTGTTTTGATACAACATACAATAGTTACTGGTACCTTAAGGAAAAACATCCACGAACATCTCTAATCAAGTATTACATTTTATCTTTTAACCACAGATCTGAAGGCACTTTCTATACATAATTAGGTATTTTCAGTGACATATGTATTCATCTAGAATTACCCCTAAATGTACACATAAAAAAAAAACAGGAAAATTAGTTATTTGGGGACTTTACTGATAAATTTCTCATTAAAAAGAAAAGTGATGAACTGGGGAAAAAACACCTGCCAGGAAGGTCCCAGAACTGCCTGGTTAGCAGCAACTTCTCTGCTGCTCCAGCCCCGAATGTTTACACATCACCAAGCAATCAAACAAAAAGAAAAGAGTCCACAAAGATACTATCTCAAAAGCAGAGAATGGCTGAGGAATGTAATGTTATTTCCTTAACAAAAAACTAGAGACTAAAATATTTAAAATGCGACAACTAAAAAGGTAAAAATGTGAGTGTACATGATACCTTCCCTCACTTTACATATTTAATACATATATTTAAATATAAACATTTTAAAACACTGCTGTCAACAGAGAAAACAAAATGCAAACAAACAGGTTTGAGGATTTTAAGTGATTCTACTGCACCAATGTTAAAGCAAAGTCCTCTAAACAAGGCCTCACAATTTTTAGTATGACTAGAAGGAAAAGAATAAGTCCTTCCCTCGAATGAGATTTTCGCCTACTTCACCTAAATGATCACTGTGATTAAACCATTTTGCAGATAATGAAACTGAGGCTCAGTGGTCACTATTCTAAGCTCTCACAGCTGGGTGATGAAGGAGGGTTTGAGCAAAACTTTAACACACTATGAAAACATCTTGGATTCCTATTGTTGAGAAGTCACGGATACTGCTGTGTGTTGCCTACATTCATAATTAGTGTGCTGTTTCCTGGATATCTTATTTCCTTCTCCAAAGGATGGTACCCGACACATTTGTCCTAATCAAGTCTAAATTTTAGTTAGGTTACTGAAAATAAAGATGTAATTTCCTTTTCTCATTCAAGTTCATAGACTCCCTGAATTCTGTCTTCAGACCCCTGAGGAACTGGCTAAGTATTCAGTGTGGATTCCTGGTATACATGGTGTAGACTCCTACAATGAATCTGTGATGAGTGTGAGTCAAAAGAATGAATAAATGAAAGTTCCCACTAAAACGCTGAGCTAGGTCAGGCAC